GTCTGGAAAAGCGATACAGGTCACTATATACAAGTTGTTTCCATGACACACCCGTTCAACCATCGCACATCTCAAGCAGCTGAAGAATGATTGGGTATTGATATTATTCCGTACAAAGACATATCTTTCAAGTCGTCAGCTGCAACGCCTCTGTGCGATTGGACTGTTGAAACGGGTGCTAGGAAACCGTCTTTCTCGTACATTAAAGGGATTATAGAAAGCATTCAGGGAGAAGTGGTGTGCTTTGGGTATGATAATCTTACGACAGAGCCTTTTGCAATGGAAACTACGCCCTGTATAAATAACAAATTATTTTTAGAAAGATTGCAAGTGAGATAAGATACAAGTTTTTATTACGGGTATCTATCATTTGATAAAAGGCTGCATGCTATTTGTTTCAGTACATTTTACACGATTAAAAACAAGTTAATGCTATCAATACTTCCAAATAAAAACAACAGACAATTGGACTGTTAGTTGTTTTGTTTTTTTATTCTTACATGCCTGTATAGGTAGAAAAAGAATAAAATATTCAATTGATTTTATGACGAGTGTTTTCTAACTGTTGAAAACATTTTCGCGAATTTGTTGTAGTTTATCTAACGAACAATGTAGTATTGTGGAACAAATGTATGCGTTGACTACAACGACGGAGTCCAGGCCGTGATCGGACCAAACCGATACGAGCGCTGATGAATCAATAAAATGAACGTTAGCCACGTAGGATGAGCAACGTTTACGAATACACTGCAGTGTTTGTGAAAGTGCGCGCGTCTTGGCCTGCGGGAAATCAATGCGGATCAATTCATGTATATAGAAGTTTTATACTGACACGGGATTAGTTATGACGCCCCCGTGCTGGTCATTTGTTGTGAAGCAATGAATTCCTAGTACAAGAAGGGAGTGGAATTTTTGTTAGAATAACAGTGTGAAACCATGAGCAAAAACAAGCATTATCGCCAACTGCACATAGCGAACTACTACTGCTGCCCTGCACGTGATGCCCATCTAATGTCATTACATTGTTATTGACTTCACCGATATGTCTGGCTATCAGGTGGGACTTCTAATTAGTTCAGCTACCAATACTGGACTTGCGCTAAGTAGTCCAACTCATCCAGTATGAATGTCTTTCCCGAAGCTTTTCAAGCTTATGATGTACTTCAGATGTACTAGATGTACTTCAGCAGGGTTCCCGAAAGTGTTCTGTTTCGAGAGTAAATAAAACCCAAATTAAGAGCAACAACTATTTTTAATAACTTGTTTTTAAAGTTCATATGTCATGCTGTGTTGTAGCCTAAAGAATGCATAATTCTTCTCATGGTTCATGGCATGCGCGCGTTTTACTGACATCACGACAGTACAAATTGCAGCGTTAAGCGCCCCTTTTGTGACGTTATTTTAGTGTACTTCAGCAGGGTTCCCGAAAGCGTTCTGTTTCGAGAGTAAATAAAACCCAAATTAAGAGCAACAACTATTTTTAATAACTTGTTTTTAAAGTTCATATGTCATGCTGTGTTGTAGCCTAAAGAATGCATAATTCTTCTCATGGTTCATGGCATGCGCGCGTTTTACTGACGTCACGACAGTACAAATTGCAGCGTTAAGCGCCCCTTTTGTGACGTTATTTTAGTATCTACTGACTGACTGACAGACAACACACTACTGCATAGTGGTGAGACTGGTTAAAACAGGTGACCCCCTCCAGGGGGCCTTTCGGGGAAAATACAACGCCTAAGTTAAAGTTTCGGTTTAACGTGTCTTTTGTAAACTGGAATATGTACAACACTTCACATAAAGCTATATATATGATAGAGGACATAACACAAATAACTTTTTTTCTACATAAGAAGGTGCAACTACACAATTATCTATCTATCTGTCTATCCATTCACCTATCTATATGTATATCCACATCTATCTATCTGTCTATATTCAAAACAGATTTGAGCTCAGACCTTTGTTTGAAGTAAAAGCCTTACAATTGGCATTTAAAAATACTTCATTATTTTGCCACACTTATTTAACTTGGTTTAATCTAACAAGCTATATATATTACGATATACAAGTATAATACAAATTAGTTTTATTATATCATGAAATATTGGCGCTAGTGCCAGCACAACATATATCGAACTTCTAATGATGTCGAGAAAAATACCTAAAGAGAAATTAATTGTTTAGGCCTAACAAAATTTGACACAAGCCATGTCGTTCTTACCCCCGTCATCATTTACGCTTTAGCAGTGAGATCGAAGAAGAAGAAAAACAAACCAAAAAGCATTTTTAGGAGGAATGAGGGAAATCTGTCATGCCCGCGGGTGATTTCTAAAGAAACAGGAGAGTCGCCACACTTACGCTAAAAGCTCACAGTTTTTTTTTGTTTTTTTTAAATTTTTATGGTAAGCAGTTTCGCTATTTTTTGTTAGCCCATAGCGATACGGTTTTAGCAATTGTCCTTACTATACTGAAGTGTTATATATAAATGTTTTCAGCTTAAATTTGAATACAAAACCGTTATTGAACTGTTACGAAATAGCATCTATTTGTGGCTAATACTTGGCCAAATAAAGAAAAGAGGACATGAAAACAACATATAAGTTCGCGAAATTAAGTAATCCCAACATTTCGGGTGTGTTCTAAACAGTAAGTTGTAAGACATTAAGCGCATGCTGTAAGTATGATCAAATTTATTTAACTGCCTGCACTTCAAAGTAATTAGCGCATCATGGTATCGCTTCCGATGGTTCGAATTTGGGGAAGAGAGAGAGAAACATCAGGGTTAGAGGGAGTTTTTATTTGTTTGAATGAACTGTAGTTTCAAGAAAAATCGCAAATCAATCTATCAAGTTTTAAATACCCGACTTTAAGACTTCGTTTTTTTTGTCCGGACATTTTACAAGCCCGCGCTTTTTTATTCAGGGAAGAAGCGTAAATACGTCCGTCTGTCTGTCCTCCTTGCTTCTAGAAGCTGTGAATCCCGGCACCTGCTGATTCTAATCTTTCTACTAAGCTTTTCCAGTTGTACACTGACGGTTATAGACGCCTTCTGATCGGTTCACCTAATGTTCTCTTAACTACTGTGTAAAACAGAGTGTACCCAAAAAATGTACCTTCAGAAAGCAATTCAAACTGAATTCAGTCGAAAGACTTGTAGATCTTAGCCTTCTTTTACGGACTACTCAAAAACAAAAGTCTGAATTTTACCACGAAATGATACATACAGAAGTTTATAGTTTCAAAGTAATTAATATTATTTCTTGCCACAACGAAAATATATATATATATATTATACATTCTATTGATTTGTTGTTTATGACATTAACATTCAAATTAGCGATAACGTTAATAACAAGAATAATGTGTATTACAAAAACACACATACGAAACAGAAAAAAAAAAGATGACCAAGTGTGAGCTGTAACAAACACACTTAACTTTCTAAAATAACCAAACCAACCATCGGTCATGTACGAATCGAATTTTGGGTCTCTGACATCCTTGAACTGACTTGAATAAAACTACAACAGCTATAGATAATGAGGTTTCCCTATTGGCAGAAAGTCAATCCGGTCGAGTTAGTAACATTAAAATCCATCATCAGTAGTTGAAACGTCTCAATGGTTCCGGTCAGGATCTTTCAAGGCATTGATAACCAGCCCGCCAAGCTCCCTTAGCGGCCTGGTTGTGGTCACTCAGTTAGTGTTAAGTCAGCAACTCTTAATCTAGTATGGATGTATCCTGAAGACATGTCACAGTTTCTCAGAAGCACTCTGAATTGCAATGTCCTGTTTTTATCCAATGAAACGCATCTCATAACATCGGGTCTGCCTTTATTGAGATGGGTCCTGATATTATTCTATTGAAGACTTGAGCTTTGAAGTGAGTTGTGATCATGAAATACAGTCATTCTGGGGAAGTGAGACTCTTGAAAACATCACGTGACAATAATAAGTGGAGAGGCGTTGAGAATCAAAAGAGGCAGATGATAAGCTGGAGCCAAGCCTCTTCAATAACTTCTTCGAGGTGTTTGGAAAGCATTGGACATGCTTAAAATAACAGAAACGACTAGTTTTCTTAAGTTAATAAAATGTCAAACTATATAACACGACTTTGACGAACACTTCAACAAATATACAGATTCAATTAGAGTACTTGCTCAGCACCGAGCTTGTAGAAGCATCGATTGTACAGAACATGAACCAAGGTTTAAATGAATCTAGGACACTGCAAGTCTTTGGAACTAACCAGAGCTCATTTTGTAGAAACAGATGCTTGCCGTTAGTGTAGCACGTGGCTTTGTTTTGCCCTAAAGTGCCGCTATAATTTAATATATCAATTCAATATAGTTGTGGTGAGTTAGTAATAGCAGTCCCGCTGACTGAGAATAATGTCGCGAATCATAAATTAGCAACATACACATATTATGCTTTGGAAAAGACGCTAAATCAATTATTATAGTACAGCACAAGTAAATTTACTTGCATTTTCTTTTTCTTTGAAATAGCTTTCGATGAAATTTCAAAAAATATAAGTTCGGTTAAATTAAAAACTTTCTTTTACACTTAGAGTTTAAAATTAGTTTTAGACACTTAACAAGATTATCAAATAAGAGAACAAAAAAGAACAAGTCTACATACCGAAACGAGAGGTGTCCAATTCTTGATTTCTTGAACAATTCCAACCTGAGAAAAAATGACTGAGATATAGAACAGTTGGAATTTTGATGAATAATATATTTCATGTCTTCATGTTTCACCTTAAGATTGAACAAATAGCAAATGTTTGAAACGCTTTACCTGTAAACGTATTTCGCATTTCTTTTTTTTTCTCGAGAAAGGTGAGTTAGAAATTTTAAAATTATTACTTTAATAAAGCAAAACCACTAGTTTATTTTCATAGGTTTCACTGAAATTGATGTACTTTTACGTTAAACTCACTTGTTTCTGATTAGAAGAGGAAATAAATATCAAAAACCAAATTAAAGTATTTTATGTGAAGGTGCAAATAATCATAGTTTCTTTTCCTATTAAACATAAAGTTACACAATGATCTATGTGTGCTCTACTATCCCAATGTATCGAAGATAATCTGCGTTTAAGTTTGTCTCTTTGTTTGGTTTTGGTTTTTGAATTTCGCGCTAAGCTACACGAGGGCTATCTGCGCTAGCCGTCCCTAATTTAGCAGTGTAAGACTAGAAGAAAGGCAGCTAGTCATCACCACCCACCGCCAACTATTGAGCTACTCTTTTACCAACGAATAGTGGGATTGACCGTCACATTATAACACTCCCACGGCTGAAGGGGCGAGCATGTTTGGTGTGACGGGGATTCGAACCAGCGACCCGCAAATTGCGAGTCGAGTGCCCTAACCACCTGGCCATGCCGGGCCGTTTCTCTGTTGCTGAGGCCTGTGTGCGCTAACCATTCTTAGTGGAGACAGCTAGTCAACATCATCCACCGTCAACTCTTGAGATATTCTTTTACCAACGTATAAAGGGAATTGTCCATCACGTTATAACATCCCATAAATGAAAGGCCTGCGTAGGATCTTTTGAATAAATATGGATAAAGTAATAAACAATCTCTGGAGTAAAACCGTTATTGTCATAAATCTTTTAACTAAATACGGACAAAGTAATAAACAATCTCTGGAGTAAAACCGTTATTGTCATAAATCTTTTAACTAAATACGGACAAAGTAATAAACAATCTCTGGAGTAAAACCGTTATTGTCATAAATCTTTTGAATAAATATGGACATAGTAATAAACAATCTGTGGAGTAAAATCCTTACTGTCATGAATCTTTTAAATAAATATAGACATAGTAATAAACAATCTCTGGAGTAAAACCGTTATTGTCAAGAATCTTTTGAATAAATATGGACAAAGTAGTGAACAATCTCTGGAGTAAAACCGTTATTGTCAAGAATCTTTTGAATACATATGGACAAAGTAGTGAACAATCTCTGGAGTAAAACCGTTATTGTCAGCCACGTAATTTTTTTTAGAATATCGTTAGGGTGCCCTTGAGTATTGTTTTCAAAACGTTGAAGAGAAAGTGTTTGGAAGAGTGTCTGTTTTTCTTGTTTTTGTTTTCGAAATTGTGATCAATCAATATACTCTACGCCACGGATATTTTGATTAGAAATGGTATAAAGTTAGATGTCGCTTCCTGTTTAATTAGTACTAAATGTTTATTTTAATTAATTGTCGAACGATGAAATGAAATGGTTAAAGTACAAAGTTCAAGCGTAACGTTAAAAGCTAAGCCTGTTTCTTTTGGACCTTTCATTTACGTTGAAGTGTTATATACTTTCACATGCTCAAGGGTATTAATGCTGCACATGTATACAACACGTTTCACAATAAATCGAATCTATACTTGTTGACTTATATAAATTTCGATAATGGGAGTTTTGTGGATAATTCACTAATTTCCATATGTCAATAACTGTTAACTCGTCACCGTTTATTCTAAAGAACTGAAACAACTGAGGATATATATATATATATATACTGTCTTTAGCAAGCAGGAGTCTAATACTTAATAGCTACTTCACTAGATCTTTCCGTAAGTCATGTGATTCGAAAAAAGATGCTTTCACTTTGAAAACCCCACGGGGGTTCACAAACAGCAACTTTTACTTGACAATAAACCTCGCTAGGCGACAACAATACTTCCTACATTGAAAGTTACGGAAAAGCAAACAATACCGACTCTAGTTTTCTATTCACGTTCACGATTATGCAGGAAATCCAAGTCATCAAATAATGACTTTTTTAGTTGTCATGACAACATTATTGTTGCCTCGAATAGAACCTTTCGTTTAGTTTACACAAACAAACACGATTAACACGTAAAAGACCATTTACTTAGGCATACCCTAGGCGCATGTGTTTGCTATTCATTTACAATATTTACTTTCTTGCTCTTCCCTATTTTGTAATAAAGAGAAATGTAGAAAGAGGAGCAACACTAAAATAATACTAACTGTATCATTATCGAAAACAGCTTCCTTTCATACAAATATTTCAAAATTGTTTATAACTTTTATATTGAATAATATCGAATGATAACAAATTCGTGTTTGAATGGTAAACATTCAGACAATTGTTGATTAAGCTTCTTACTATTAACGATACGCATACGCTTTGATATAAAATCATATCGGTAGCTATCATTTGGTCGTTCAACCTTCGAGTGCACATGATTACCTGTCCAACCCAGATATTGTTTTCTCTGAGTTTTACAGTACATTTTCTAGCCTGACTTTAGAATTTATGTGATACCAGTGCTGTGCTGGTTGTTTTAAGAATTGCTGAGAAATCACGCCTGAATTCACTAAGAGCTATATTTTGGAACTAAAACAACATTCTCTCTCGAAGCTTGTCACGTCACGCCACGCGAGAGATGTGGTTTGCGTTCTTACATTTCTGAGATTTACAGATGACAACAACTTGAAAACCAAATTGAGATGAAATATCCTGACTAATGAAATAGTGTATCCACACCGCTAATGCACGACCATTATACTAACGAGGACTCTGAGACCAGAGTGATGACACTGACCGAACAGGAAGTGAGTTCTCAAAACTGCCGAGCATGAAAAAGCGCGTGACTGACTAAAATACTGACCAGAACCCCGGAACAATAGACGAGTAGATCATAACCTTGTATGTGTTTTTGTTAACCTAACAGTTACTGAAATACCCCAATGTTTAGGATCTAAATCATACATTTTAAGGTTTAGATTATTATTTCTTATTGCTGGTTGTTTGTGAATATTAAACTGAAAACTTAGCTATATTTAAAATCAAGAAAGGACATGTGGCTTTAAACAAAATTTTCACGGAATAATAATGTGTTCGCGGACTAATGATGTGCCGAAATATAAATCTTAATTATATCAAAATACTTAGACATGACTCAAGAAAGGTGTAACCTTTTCACGAATATTTTAGGTGATAGGGTTTTCGCGCAAAGCTACACAAACAGGTGCATGCTCCTGGCCACTAATGATGGAAAGCAGCTAGTCAATAGAACCTACCGCTAACTCTTGGGCTGATGTGGTCTGAGAGAATAATGGGATTTAACTGTCTTTTTATTTTATTTTAGCGCACCTTCTGTCCCATATGCAGAGCGCATTTTTGCGGCAACGGACCGCGAACCTTAAACCCTTAAAATTACATCAACCACTATACTATGCTCAGTTCTAGGTGCGTCCGATCATGTTCTATCTGACGATCGTACAGCGTAGTTTCCGTTGCAAAATCTCCTTGTCGTCTAAAGCAAATCACTCCTCCTTGCAAGCTTTCCATAATCCATGTAGTGTATGAGTACGACGGTTTCCTAGCGCTCGTTTCAACAGCCCAATCGCACAGAAATCCATATGCGTTACTTTTGTCGATTTGACTGATATGCCTTCGTATGGAATAGCATGAATATTCCATTTTATTCTCCAGCTGCTTGAGGTATGCGACGGTAGAACGGGGATGCATATTTTTGATACACCATAACCTCTTGGTCCCGTTTCTAGGCGGAGATCCTTCTTGATTATGTTGCGGATAGTGTTACGTGGGGCAAAATATATCCCCGTCTTAAAAATTTTAAATCCACAATCTAAACACATTTTTATGATCTTAATGTGTAAATATTTTGCGAAATAAAGGGCTGTAACATACCCTTCCAAAACGCAATCAATTTTCGGAAGCGTCATAACACTTCCGTAACGCCAAACAAAGTCAAAATGTAATAATTTGGTAAATGCAATTCCACCGCGACTTTATGTCGGCTGTGATTGGTACGTGACTTGATCTGCATATTCAAGTTCGTTTCTGTTAACCCTGTAGATAGAAAAGTCGTAAATAAAACTTTATTCATTAGGTTTTGAACTACCATTCTTCTTGCCCCCCAGTAGCACAGCGGTATGTCTGCGGACTTACAACGCTAGAAACCGGGTTTCGATACCCGAGGTGGGCAGAGCACAGATAGCCCATTGTGTAGCTTTGTGCTTAATTCCAAAAACAATAAACCATTCTTCTTCAGACTTTAGATTATTGTTCTGAAACAATTAATAAGTAAAGTTACTAGAAATCAAGATCATATAATTCTAATTTTTAAGTCAGCTTATACTTCGAAAAAAATAAAAAGTAACTTAATTAAATTGGTAATATCATGAATTTATGTTTCATATAAAAAGCATTAAGTAGTAAAAATCTTAGTAGACAATATTTAAGTACAGGTAATAGATGAAACAAGCTCAGAGATTGGTAAGCTAACAGCTTTGTTCAGTATAAACGGATAAACGAACAATATTTCAATAACAATGTTCAAGTATAGGTAATAAATAAAACGAGCTTAGAGACTGATAATACAACAGCTTTGTTCAGGATAAATGAACAATATTTCAATAGTAATGATTAAGTATGGGTAATAAATAAAACAAGCTTAGAGACTGATAATCCAACAGCTTTGTTTAGGATAAATGAACAATATTTCAATAACAATGTTCAAGTATAGGTAATAAATAAAACAAGCTTAGAGACTGATAATCCAACAGCTTTGTTCAGGATAAATGAACAATATTTCAATAGCAATGATTAAGTATGGGTAATAAATAAAACAAGCTTAGAGACTGATAATCCAACAGCTTTGTTTAGGATAAATGAACAATATTTCAA